AGGTGCGTTTCACCCGTCTGGGTTGGGGGTGTTGGATTTGTTTGTATGGATCTGAGGCTTTTTGGGAGACTATTCATGCTTTACTGGTGTGAAAGCATCGTCCTCTCGATTCATAGGGACAAATCGATTGGGCATGTGGCCTCGAGTCGCCTTCGGTGGCCCTATAGCACCACGTCATTTTTTCCATTAAAACCATGAGATCTGTGCTAACATATTTTTTATGTACAATATATATATATATACACTCATTAGTAAAGTTCCCTTTTTTAAAAGCTGAGCTCGTGGTTTTATCTATAATACTAATCTTATGCCTTAAGATGTTATTGGACTTGATTAGCTTAATTTATGTTCCTTTATTTTCTATCTCTATTTCAATTTATTGGTTTATGTCTAATTTTATGATTTTTGTATGATATATGTACATACATAGATAAATACATGGATGTGTGTGTATCTAATTCTTTTATTTGTGCAAGACCATACTTTTTTATTCATCACATGGCACCCCTATCAAGAAAGAGTAGCCTGCAAGTAAAGCACAACAACCCAAAGCAAAGCACATATATAATTCCTTCAAGTTAATGATCATCTCTCGTTATTATCTTTAGCTTATATTAATTCCAAATTGATTCTCATTTGGTTGTTGAGACCCTTTTAATCATTTTTCATCACACTCATCATGAGATGCTTATGATAACATGGACCGATAAAACCAAACTCATCATGAAAAACAACTAATCAAAAGGCCTAATCACATCTCATAATTCTCATTATTCTCATTCATTACCACCACCACCTTAAACCTTCTTCTTCTTATATTCATGCTTGCTCTATATATATGTTGTAACTGAAGACGCATCAAAAGAGTTCAGAGACACGATACTACACATTGTATGGCATTTAGACTAAAGTCACTATGGTACGTTCGTGTAAGGGGCTTGACGGCGAGAAGGCATAGGAGGCGGCGAACCAACCGCAGCAGCATTCGATTGGGAAAGCAAAAGCGACGGAAGCCGATGGTGAGATGGATGTTACAGTGGTCTCAAGCTCGATGGCGAGTGACTGTGAATATTTTTCAGCCATTAAAACATGCAATTATAACTATGATGGTCAACGGGGCTTTGTTATTGGACTCTCGCAATCTTTTACTACCATTTGTATACCCCTTCCCAATTCCACTCTTTTCATGACTTGTTCCATGTAATAAGAATAGCATTGCCATGAAAACTTAATCAAGTTATGATTGCTTTGTGAGTTATAATATTATTTCTATTTAGGTTACAAAAATTTATTTATCAAATGAGCATAAAATTTGGTAGATCTCTAATTAATCAAAAATAATATTGAGGATGTAATTTTATTTTATTTAGAGAAAATATTTAGGTACTAAACAAATTTAATAAAAATAAAGATTATGTATTTTGGTAGATCTCTAATTAATCAAAAATAATATTGAGGCTGTAATTTTATTTTATTTAGAGAATATATTTAGATACTAAACAAATTTAATAAAAATAAAGACTATGTATTAGGATTAGCTCATCAATTTGAATCTATAGACACTAAAACAGTCTCACTTCAAGTCCAAATCAACACAAATGGGTCATATGATTGGATTGAACATAGCCAAGACAAGGGATGACTAGCCAGCACAATCAACCTCATTTAAAAAGATTTAGGTTTATAAGAATTGTTTTGATCATTTGTTAATCATTTTGGGTAAAATGCTCCTATTGAGAAGTCAAACTTATAGGTATAAAAGTTATGATCTATTTTTACTATTTTTTTAAATATCCCAATTCAATGAACATGAACTATCTCAAAAACATTTTCACCATCTTGATCATTCAAATTTTAATGTCGCCGTTGTTTTGATCGTTCCGATCATCATTTGATCATAGAGTGACAATCGATAAAATCAATTATACATAAGAATTTAAAATACTATTGAAAAGGAATAGAGTGCCCATTTTTTAAACTATGAATAGGAAGTAAATCAATTCATTAGAGAAGAGTTTCAAAATTAGAAAGGTCATTTGAATCCTTTGAGGAATTTAGTGAATAGATCTCGCATAGAAGTCCTACATCAAAATGTTCGCTTATTTGACATTGTCTATGTCAAGAATTATGTTACAACATTTGCTCGTGCGACAATCGTAATTTATGTAAGGGTGTAAATATGCAATACATTTGTTCGAATTAAACTCATATTCAACTAGATTTTGAGCTCAAATAAAATTCAATTTTTTTTTTTTTTTAATTTTTGAACATTTTCAATATGTCAAGAAATATAATACGTTTGGTTCAAAGATTTCAGGAAAACCTAAAGCTGAAAATTTTTGGTTTCCAATAATGAATTCTTGTCTATGTCCCGATGTGGGACTATATATATAAATCCAATCTTTGATATCACTAATTTAATTTTAATATATTCATTAATTTATTATTTAGCTAATTCAAGCCAAAATAAGTCGAGCATGATCAAATAAAAATTTGTTCTTATTTGACTCGTTTATAAATCGAGCTCAAAAAATTCATTCTTCAGTTCATTTGCTCAATGAATGAATCAAACACGAGTTACTTGACAAGGCTAACACGAACTATTCGCGAAAAACAAGCTTTTTTTCATAGCCCTAAGGTTATGGGACTTTCATTATAACATTAGCTCGAGTATTACGTTACATTCAAATACAAAATTTTCACCATAGTTGTAATATTAATTAACTTTGTCGGTTACTCATGCATATGGTTTAACCTATTGTACTAGCCTAAGACATTGTCTCGAATGGGGATGAACATGCAACCAACTAAATCTTGCTAGAGTCAATCATGCATGTGTTACTCAATAAGGTTCAATTAATGATCATCAATGCTCAATTTACCAAGTAGCGCGAGACTTCATAACTTAATTATTTCAACTAAGACCTTCCTCTAACTAGGCCATATTGGAGACCAGGTTAGGACAATTTGACCTAGTCTAATCACACAAGTCTAAATTTGGCTACAAGTTATCATGTGAGTTAGTCAATCCCCCATGAGTTGGACAAGGGGCAAATTGCCCATCTAAGATTATTAAACCATATAAATTAATTGAGGTAAAGCTTAAAAAGCACCAATCGTTTTGCATATTTACTAAGGGCCAGAAGCTCATCCCACAGTTTTTTTAAGCTTACTGGTATCATAATGAGCCAAGAATTGTAATAACAATGCATTCTAAGTTTACTGGGAACATATTTCTTAGGCATTTACATATTACCATATGAACTTTGATGTTTATGTTTGCATCATTTTACCCATGCATTAAAATATGTACTCTACATTTTGTAAAGGCAAATGAAGGTGGTATTTTTGATGTGATATAAACGATTTGAATGTCATACATGTTAAAAAAAAAATCCAAATTTAAATGTGCTGCATATGTAAATTCATAAGAATTGTGTGGTACACATGTAAATGACCCAAAAAAACAAGTCCATGTCCTCTTAAATGAATGCATTGGAGACAGAGAAAAGAGACGATTATTCAATGTAATGAGCAGACCCACATAAGATCAAATTCACATTTTTTATCCAAATAACACTTTGACCGGGCCCTTGAAAGATACTATTTATGATTATAATTTTATCAAAATAAAAAAAAGCAAAAAATGTTTAAAATGCAATATTCTAAAAGAAAATAAGAGATGACAACAAAGCGCAGAGCTAATACTACTGAAGCTGGAATCCAATTTCAGAGCCTCATTTACCTATCCTGATCAATTATGGCCTCCGTATATAAGATTTTTTTAAATACATAGGAATTGAGTAGCATGTATGTAAATCTTCCCCCCTAAACCTGTATTTACATATCTAACATCTAAACTATTATTTTTACATTTATACCAACCAAATATTTCATGTCTATTTTAACTTAAAGTTTTGAAAAACACCTTTCAATAATTGGTAGGGTGTTGCGCAAGTAAAATTTGAAGTTTAGGTGTTAGATATGCAAATACATAGGAATTGCCCGCCCTCCAAAAAAAAAAAAATCACATGATGCAAATACACAATTGGTTGAAACTCTCCATGGAATGTCTCGCTAAAACAAGGGGGGAAAAATTATGAATGAACACGTTCAGATAGTTGTCAAACTCTAATTGCCACCTTCCAAGCCTCAAAAACGATAGCTACCACATTGGGAATCTGTCAAACAGCATTTTCCAGATTATTAATTGTCACCTCTCAAAAAAGCCCTTATACCTTCCAAGCCTCAAAAACGATAGCTACCACATTGGGAATTTGTCAAACAGCATTTTCCAGATTACTAATTGTCACCTCTCAAAAAAGCCCTTATAGGTGATGGGTAGCCCAGGACTTAAATACTGTTTTTCGGTCCTACACCTAGCCGATGTGGGACTATTTGTCTGTTACATTCTCCTTCACGCAATCACACGTTACGCCCTCGTCATGGATTGGCTCCACTGAGGGTCCCACTGGACCATGGAGAGTTCACACACCTGACAGGCAGTAGTCTGCTCTGATACCACTTGTTGAGAGAGCTGAATCTTGTATTATGTACTCTTTTCTGAATATTGAAAAGGAGATCGCCGCTCTGCTCCCGAAGATGTAGGCATCTTTGCCGAACCTCGTTAAATCTCTGTGTTCTTCTGGATTTGTGTCGATTACTGTTTTTTTTCGCCCTATTTTTCTCAACACTAATAAATCTAGTTTGGTTTGTCCATCACAAATTTAAAGAGCTAGAATTCCTTAAAAATAAAAAGCCAAAACAGGATATGATTTTCTAATTAAATGCAATAAATTACTTTAAAATAGGAAACATAATTAAAAAAAAAAAAAGGGAGATGAAATTTATGCATTCCAATAGCACAGCATTGATGTTAGCAGTAAATGTCATTCACAATCTACAGAAACAAAAGTTCTATTAGAGCAATTTGTTAGTTTGAAATCAAAATAACGCGCTGTGAAAAGAATGCAATTTTTTGCATAACAAAAAGAATGTTTAGGCTATAATTACATGCAAAACTTTTCGAAATAAACTGTCCAAACTTTTACAAGAACCAACAGAATGGAATGTTCATATTACAACACTTTCAATTATCCAACTTTATAAAAATAGGATTGGGTGCAATTGCAAATGCAACAGCAGAAGCAATCATATATCACCAAATAAAGAAGACCTGCCGCTTTAACCAAAAACAGCATACCAGCCCTCAGAAAAAGCACAAAAAAAGGTAAAAAATAATGAAGAACTTCAAAAGCCAAATTTTTTTTTCACAACTACTAAGATCCTATACCGTAAAAAAGAATAAGTGACAAAAATATGAATACCTTCCTTCGAGGAAGCAAATGCTTTGGAACAAAACATAACCGCCTCAACTCGAGCAGCCGAGACAAATATTTGCACAGGCAAAGATAGAACAGAAGACACCCATCTTCTGGTAATACGCTTCCTTTCATGGAAAAGAATTCTGACAAGCTCAACGAACAGAGAACCTGACAAAACCTTTGGCTCTATGAACTCCACAACCCAATAATTCATAAAATCACTGTAACCAATTATATCTTCATGGCCATGGCCCCTCCAAAGAATTAAAACTGCCAAGGAAAATATTGAAAGAACAGAATATTTGATCATTTTTTTCTCTCACGACAATGCTGCCTTCTCAATCTTCTCCTTCTCAACTTCTATCTTTCTTTGTTCAGCATGTTGAGCTATGCCATTAGCAAGAGCCTGGTGACTGAACTCCATGGTCTGCATAACATTCTGAAATCTTGCAGGATTTGCAGCTTGCAAGCCTAAAAGATGAAGCACAACTGGTTGATAAATAAAAAAATAAAAATAAAATCCCGAATTTATATGTATATGAAGTTCAGTACCTTTCACAGTTTCCATAAAGAAAATAAATGGATCCACATCATCAATAGGAGATTGCATCTCATCATCATCGCTGTAATCATCTTCTGAATCATCATCCTCGTCCTCAGGCTGCAAACCCTTTGCCTGGGTTTTTTTTAATGAAAATATGGTGAATAGGGTAACTAGTAATAATATGCAGGAGAAAACTTGTACAACAAAGGAACAGCATTAAGTATTTACTGTGACGAGCACGCACATCTCTCTCTCTACACATGTAGGAATAAGTTTAATGGATTCAATAAGTTCTTATCAGAATCGAGTCGAGTGCATCAAATAAATTTCATCAACAGCAAACAATGCAAAATGTAAACACAGAATATTGTGAAAGCCCAAGGTACAAAAACTACCCAAACTACAATGAAGTCTTTGATGGAAAGGCAAACTCACAAAAACAAATGTAGTCAAACTCATTAATCCTAGTTGATAATCCATGTAAATTTTGCTATCAAAAAAGATTTCTTTACAAGGCAAGTACGAGCATTTAATAATAAACAAAATAAAAAGAGATAAAGATTGTGCCATTCATTTTAGTTTCAATTCTATGCTAGCGCTGAGAAAAACAAAACTAAGATAAGCTTTGAGCCAGTAGGTAAGAAACTAGAAATTTACAAAATGTCATAAGTTCTCTCAAGAAAACTCTTGTCGGAACAATACATCAAAATCACTAGATTCATAAACATGAAATATTTGAAATATGTTATTTATTATTTTATTCTTGATTGGTTTTTTTTTTCTAATTTTTATAATCTTGGTATATTTTGGTTATTCTCATCTATGAAAGGCAGAGGTTGACCTAGAAATACTTTGGCATATTGTATAAAAAATGATCTTAATTTATTAGAATTAAATGAAAATATGATACTCAATAGGACGCAATGGAGAAAAAGGATTCATGTAACTGCCCCCACTTAGTGGGATAAAGGTTTGTTGTTGTTTTGTTGTTGTTGTTGTGATCATGATCTATGAAATAGTCAACCAAAGAAAACATCAGGCAACCACTTTTCACTTTAAAAATTATTCAAAAATAAAACTACACTTTAAAGTATTCAATCATCATCAACTCCTAGATTTATCCTGATTTAAAGTGCCACTGGATGCATACTTCAAATGAACCATCATAGCACTTAAAAATGGCAAAAAACAAATAAATTGTCATTTTGATGTTCTAAATTGTGCCATTGTAAAATCTTACCGTTCCATAAGCGCCAGTTACCCATTCACACAAATAATGGACGATAAGAAACTTTAGTTTTAACTATCACGCTAGTAAAAAACAACGCCAATAATCTTCCTGAAAGGTTTTTTGCATGTGACGGGATTATAGTGGGCATAGAATCAGAATAATGAAAATTTTTATAACTAACGCCTTGGCTCATGCGAACTCCAAAATTTAATTGGAATCGTTCATTTTTTTTATTCAACTTGAAATCTGGTTTGATTTGAAATCAAAATTTATTTATTTGGAATCAATCACATATATGTATGTTATTATACTTATATTTATTTTTATTTTTGTTTTGAAAATTTATATATGACGTGAAGAACATGTAAAAGTGCCTTTTTTTTTACTTCAAGCAGGACAATCTCAAGTTAAATCAAACAAAGTTCAAATGAGTCATCCTTGACTCACAGATAATTAATGTTGATTTTGGGACAATAAAAATTCAAGTGATTGAGTTACGATCTTCAAACAAAATTGACAGTTAAATGGAATAATGATTCACCATATTATAATATTTTACGTCCATGTATGTTCCATATTAGAATTAGGTATATTTTGTACTTACAAAAACAAGAACCTTTACAATGAAAAGGATTTGTGGATGACTGAAAACATACGGAGGCTGGATAGCCAGCAATCATTCAACTAGCTAGTGTAGTAGTTAAAATGGTAGCCTAGGATTCGGTTAGCAACTTAGCTTATAGTTAAATTATTATAAAAAAGAAAAGCATATCCTGCAAGCATTAGCTTGTAAATTTAGAAGGCAACCAAGCATCTAATCAGCTCAGAGGAAATCTCACGTGGAAACAAAATGGAAGTAATGGAATCAAATAGTTTCATTTTAAAGGTCAGCAAGCATGAAGAGTTCAGGAAAAGGAAAAAAATCACCCCAGCAACTCAGTTGATATTTAAAGAGTATGGAAAATAAACAATAAGATACCAACTCATCATAGAAATGGCGTTAGAATTGATCTTTACAATATTAGTAATAATTAAAATATAAAATGCAAGTTATCATACAACTATGAATGTAAGAAGAGTAGGAAACAATGGCGCCATCATGCTTGGGTAAAATTTAGACTAGAAGGCAAAGTAAAACTTATATTGGATAAACATATTTGATTTCATATCAGAGCATGAAGTATCAACTGCATCAAACTTTAAGTTTAGCCACAAAAGAATAAAAGCAAATTCATGAAATATAAAGCATGGTGTATTGAAAATTAAAGTAAGAAAAAACCCACATTCAATTTAAAATTTTAAAAACATTATATCACCAAAAGTTTGAAATTTAGTATGAATTCAATATATCAAACTAAAGTACCTGTGCAGCTAATCTCTTGAGCTTTCGACTGTCTGCCTCATCTCCATCTTCCTCCTCATCGTCGCCCATTTCCCTATCAGATTCATCGTCCTCGTCATCATCTGTTTGGAATCCATCCATATCATCATCTTCAACTTCAGCCTCTTTCTGAGCTTCTGTTAGAAACAGTCAAATAATTATAACTTGGACCATTTTAGGAACTCTAACAAGAAACTGTGGAGCACTGCTTATAAACTTCAACTTGGTTTCATTAACAGAGCAGCCTATATTCCAGAAAATCATGAAAGCAATCAGAACAATACTGAGACACAATGAATATATATATAAATGACACAATACAGAAACACTGGTGTGCCAAAATAAACAAAGAAAGGGGGAAAATATAAACCACAGGGAAACTTTGATGGAAATGAATGTTTGAGAACACAATGATGAAATTCAAGTTAAGGCCATATATGTGATTCAAGTTATAAATCACCTGCAATTTGATCTTTGTAAGATGCGAGAAGTTCTAGAGTTGCACAGAACACACGCCCTAGAGCATCTGCTGGCAGTTGTTCTTCGTTAAGTGCAATAAGTGAAGTTAACCCTAAGCAGCACACCTTCTTGTCATATTCTCTGAAATCATGATAAAATATAGAGGTTCAGATAACTGTGTAAATTAGCCAAGTCACATTGCATGTGCCAAGGGGAAAGCTGAGGAAGGAAATAGAACAAGTACCGTCTAAAATTAGCACGAACACCACTCTTCTTAACCTCTTGTAGCATCCGAAACCACATATTGAAAACTTCTGAAACAACACCGAGCCTATGCAATATCCCGAGGGTCAAAGAAGCATTGTAATATAGGGCATCGGCAATCTGTAGAAAAGGACCAAAAACGTCGATTTCCTTGTAGAAAGATGGTGAGGGGGACCTCATGAACGAGGACAAGGCTAGTATGCCAGAAATCCACAAACAAAAAAAATTTTAATAATCAATAAGAAAACCACAAGAAAAGAGACACATTACAAGCCAAGAAAGTTAGAAGAATAACGGCAACCAAAATAGGCACAACACTTCAAGAATTCATTACCAGTGTGATTTTTTATTAATATATATCCTAAATAGTTTATTAAAAGAAAGCAGGGTAAAATATCAGCTACAGATAAAATTCCATGCTAAAAGCTAGATAATATTAAATTTAAAGGTCACAGGTTGGACTCGAACCTATGAACATTATCCAGATATTGATGAAGCATTCAGCTTCAAGTCTTCATAGAATAAGTTTGTTTTCTCAAAAATATAATTAAGCATTAATACTATCAAGTTTGAAAGTCATACTTTTAGCTATATATATATATAATCATTTTCTTCCACTTATATTAATACATTGATTATCCTAAATACCCAGTATTTAAGAAATTATTTGCTAATTTATAATGACTTATATTTTAGGATTATTTCCACATGTGCACTTCAGAATTACCTACTTTATAAATATTTTACCAACTAAACGGATGCATAGATCAATTGACATCTATTTGAAACAGTTCCCTTCTGTGATGTATTAAAGGGCTTTAAAAAGTAGTCATTCTATCTTTTTGTCGCATAAACAAATACAAGCATAGGAAAACAAAAATGAATACTATATAAATTTTTTTCAAGAAAAAATAAGGAAGTTATTCATTGAGGCCAAATCTTTCCCCTCAAGGAATCTCTAGATGTGATACCACAGGCAGAAATGTTATCCTGAAACAGGGTGGACATACAAAGCCAGCGCCTGTCCTAACACCTGTTTGGTTGCCTAGTAAAATGATGACTACTCTCAAGGTAAGAGAAATTGGTATTCATGAGACAAGTTTAAGTTCCGCTACATAACTTACGTTATTCCTGAGGGACTGCATTGGAAATCAACGAATGTGAGAAACTTCACAAACTGAGTGTCTTCGAGGAAGTTATCCCAAAGATAAAATATAGAAGACAAATCTAAAAGATTGCAAACAAAATAGATCCATTGTCGTTTTCCTCTTTTGGAAATAAAGCATGTGTACTATATGATTGTCTATGCACAGCGAGAAGCAGTATGAAACCCATAAAAATGGAATGATATGAGGTTAAAGGAGGATAATGAGAATGTGTGGAAATAAAAAAAAAAAGAGAAAATTACATCCTTCTTAAATTTTCTAACCAAAATGCAATTTCTATATGCAAAAATATGTGGTTAATTTGCAAAAACATTGATTAAACAGCTAAAAAATAATTATCAGAGATGAGCCAGTTAACTTCATTTCTATAACTGTGAAACATAATACATTGCTAGTTTTTGTCCTCAAATAGGTTATGCATTAGGATATAATGGCCAACTTCTTTTATCAAAGTTCAAACATTTGGTGAATAGTATTCCTTGGAAGACGACATCCATATTGACAGGGAACATCACTCATTTGGAATTATCCGGGTACAAAAAAGAATGACATTAATAAATGTAATTTACATATGTATTTTGGTTTACAGTGCAAAGAAGAAAAGAGAGTGCCAAGAAGAAAACTTTTGAAACGAACACTCCAGCAATTCCTAAAATACAATGAAATAACAAGGTATTTCACCCTTAACAGTGTGTATAAGGTGTTAGCTGAAAGAAAGTTTATGCTAAACAAAGGAAAAAGAAAAAAAATGCCAACTTTTATTTCTCAAAATAAACTACTAGTTTTAAAAATATTACGACTTAGAATTCCTATTGACTTCAATCAATTATTTTTCATTCTATTAGTGAAACAATCATATTCAACAAACACTAGCGAAGCATGTTACTTGAAAGTTCCTTGAAAGTGAACCATCTTCCATGTACCACAGCAAACCCAGATCTCAAGCATAACAAAATCTTCTATACAGAAGGTGTTTTGAAAATTGGACAATTAACCTATAAAATATTCAACAATCACTCGGACAATGAAGGCAACCTATAGCAAGAAAACAAAAAGTGTATGTAATATTTAAACCTATAGGATATGAGGGTCCCTCGTAAGAAAAAAAAAACAATCAGCAGCCGGAGAACATAAATTCTTTTTTCTTTTTCTGTCTTTTTTCTTTTTAGAGACCATAAATTCGATAGACCCTTAAATACCAATCTATGATAATCTCAACTCCTTTTTGATGAGGACAGACATGAGAAATAACTTTCTTGAACAATTTGTTGGTAACTAGACTAAGGCACACTTGTATTCATGTACTTGGCCAACTGAACAAAGTTTAATGTCTAGTTGAATACGCTAGAACATTATTTCACTTATTCATTTATGTTCATAGCATGATAGTTTGTTGTTTAAAAAGTAATTCGCTAAGAAATCCCTTAACAACTCATTTGATATTTGTTTACTAGCATATTTAATTTCTCATTTTATGTTCATTTATAAAAGCTATATATAAACATATGAGTATGGTATCACTCGCATAATTAAATCATTATATGTTTAATTTGATATCATTCTTCTATTTTGATTAACACGGGATAATAAAACATTGAAAAAAAAATATTGACTAACATGAATCTCTTATTAATAAATTTGTTTGCATTTGTTTTGGATAAATAGGTTATAAGTTTAAAAATTAGCAACCTACCAATATTTTGGAAAGTTAGATTAAAGCTCGCTATATGGTTCAATTTTAATTACAGTCAAATAAACATGCTTAAACATTGTTTATTAAAACTTGGGTCATGTTTTAGCTAAGTTTGAGATTGATAAGACAATAAATAAGCAAATTTGAACATAGCAATACTCAAGTTGCTGCCCTATTTCTTCTCAATATTAAGATAAATACTAATACACAAATTAAAAAAAAAGTTGGAACAACCCAACCACCAACTCGGAATAAATAGTCAAGTTGCATTATGTTGCTTATAGGCTTCAAAATTAACTTGCCCAAAGTTGTTGCTGGTAGGCTGCCAATAAGAACGCATAATAAGCCTGTTAGGCATTAGCACTGAATATTTATTAATACACAAAAAAAAAAAAAACATATTAACAGTTATTGTTTAGATTCATAGTAAGAGTTGCAGTGAAAAAGAGGCGGGACCATACTAAAAGCTACATTGAAAATAAATGAAATATATTAAAAATTACCACTTCTATTAAAAGGCATCTTAAGGATGACTTCACAGTTCGTAGAAGACGTTCAATTGTAATCCGGAGATATGGTTCAACCCACTGATCCAACTGACCTTTACAATTCTGAAATAGTACTTGAATGAGTTTTGGTGCAGGATGGATATCATTATCTTCCATATTTTTGTCTGTCATTATCTGCATATTTTTATCAGAAAATCTTCAAACTATGTAGATCACCATCAAAATTTCCCAATGTTACTCATTACTCATTACTTTCTAAATGTAGTACAAACCAATGACATGATAAAAAGGAAGAAAGTGCTAGAAAGGTTAATGATATTTTATTTGTAAATCATATACTTCCAATCATTATTAGCACAAATATTAACAATCTAAACTTTTATCCAGGGAATAAAACTGGAAAATTACACTTTTCATTGCATCACTTCCGAAATGGAAAAAATTCTCTCTGCGTCTTGAGATGGATTCCTTAAAAAGGAACCTTGTAATGCTTGAATGTACAAAATATATTGATTTAAGAACAATCAAAGCAGTAAAACAAGTTCTAAAATGTATCAAAAAAATAATCATAGCAAAAGCAAAAAGATTCATTTAAATGAATCAGAAAAACATATTTGTTAAATTTTTTAAGTTTCTTTTTTTCTTTCATAATTCTGTTATATGAGAAATGACTATACTTTACATATATCTCAAATCTAACATCAAATAATTCGACAAAATCAATTTTGGTTCAATAAATCCATTCCAATCAATGTAAAGGATATTTTAATCAATCCATATATCATTTTAATTTCATTAAAAGAAAGGAAATATAACTTTGTATGTTGATTAAATAAGAACAGAACTATTGCTAGAAATCATCATAATGGCATAGCAAATGTCATATACAACGTTCAAATGAAAATCAATTCAATCTTTCTCCCAGTGAGCATGTGGGTTAACATTCCAGAAACATTAGTTTCTTTATAAAATTTAGCAGTCACATGGAATTAACAAAATTCATCATAATATCAGTTGGCATGCAAGAATTAGTCGATTTAACGAAATCATCACAACGTACATTCAAATTCGTTCTCAAATGACATTATGCGGAGAAACGGCTCTAAACAAATAATAACAAGAAACAATTTTTTAAGAATTTAAGTCATCACTCACAGAAGAAAGCATATTCCATAGGCTCTGTTGGTAATCAGGTTCTTTGCAGCTTAGGAAATGTGTAGTGCCTCTGGATATGTAGTTGTCCAGCGGAATAAGGATATCTGCATTGGAAGGCTTAGAAAAATTAAAGAGTATCATAAGAAAAATCAAGAAGAAAATCACATAAAATGATCCCAATAATTACATATTTCACCCAAAATATAATTTTAAGATAAAATTTATCAGCAAAATATCTTCATTTCTTCCACATCCACGAAAAATTCTATGGCTAAAGTTCAGGGAAAAAAAGAGATTGGCAAGTTGCTAAAAAGTGAACCTAAATCAGTATTTTTTAAACTGCAATATACAATATGCAATGCGATGTGCAAGAGCTTATTTTTACTTCAAAGCATAAAACGTAGCGGTGATTTAATTAACTAAAGCATATATAACTTACATATTAGCTATAAGGATAAAAAATGTGATTGTATCATAGTAATTTCTAATGTCTGAAAATTTTTGTTATTAATAGGTACAATTAAAATAATAAGCATTATAAAATTTAAAAAAATAGTAAAATAAAAAATAGCTAAAATATTAGGCTGCCATCCCATATCATTTGGGAAAAAAGAAAAAAAAAACTGAAAATATACAAATCCAAGCTAAAGCTCAGCAACGATAGTGTGATGCTTGCAAAATTGAACTCGCTTCTGCTCTGTCGAAGTGTGTGCTATGGTACTACTGCAGTCTCGAACGCTGCAGCAATTGCATCGAGTGCCTCATCATCCCAGAACACTATTTATCTGCTTGCTCTCATTGAAGCCTGGTGTATTTCCTTTTGCTAATCCTGTTCTATAGAAATGATCCACATCTGCTTCAACATCGAAACCCGCTCTGGTGTTTTGCCAACATATCTTGTGCTTCGAAGGCTTAACCCGATAGCATTCTTCCCGAATGAAGCGCACACTTCACACACAATATTCGTGCGACTGTGATGCCTATGGAACTGCAGGCATTTTGCATCGTGTCGGGCATGCACTTTGAAGCGTGCATTTAAAAACAATAGCCTAAATAAAGTTGAGTGAAACAAACGCACTCATCTTCATCTTTGGGTCCTAATGTCATTTTATGCTCTGCTATGCTGCTACACATTCAGTATGCCACGTTTGTCAAATTGATTATGACACTAGAACTTATTATCAGAAGATACAAGAAATGTAAATAAAAAGGCATTTTTCAAAATCCACATATCTAGAAATTGCCAACTGGAAAGTTTTATAGTTAAATATAGATGGTATTTTTCAAACTCCACATTTCCTCTTGTATCGCACATAAAATTTATCCTGACTGTCATATCTAAACGGCAATTTACACCACTCCGAACAATTTCTTCGAACATAAATTTAACCATCAAATGCTACCAATTTTACCATAATGTCAATTTCATCATTCACAGGTGAGCGGTGACGGCAGCGAAGGCTGGCGATGGCGGCGGGCGATGGCGCCAGCAAAGGTGGGCAGCGGCCAGTGAAGACAGTTGCGGGATGCAGCGACAGCGGTGGTGGGAGGCGACGGTGACGGCGGAGGGCGGCGGCGGCGAGTTACAGTTTGATAACAATTTACAGTATAATTCAAATTCAATTAAATCTATCGATTTCTAAATTCAACTAAAATGAACTAAATAGTGAACTTCAAATTCATTGAAACTTTACATTATACTTGTACTTCTTCATACTAAACACATGATTTTCTCAAATCCCTATAAATGAATTACAGTACACCACAAATCCATCTAACCAAACAGCCACTAAGAATAAGCCAGGGAGGAGGTCATTGTTGCAAAAAATGTCATTCAAAATTTTATTAAAAAATTGATACCTAGAGCACAAGGAAGGCAGACATATCTTTAATTTTAACTTCTTCTACCGTGTAAGTCACTGGGTATTAAAGCTCAAGAATAGCATAATCACATGGTGATAAAGGAGGATCCAAGAAAAATGAAGATTTGAAGACAAACACGAAAATCACTAGGTTCGGCACATACCATGCTACCTTTCGGAAGGCTCTTTTGTGGCAACACCAAAGCAAGGCAACAAGAATAGGAAGAAAATGCACTACTTCCTAGCCTTTTTTAAAATTTAATTAAAATATAATAAAGCAAGTCAATATGCGCTTGACTATGCTGACAAGGGAAACTCATGTTCTAGTCACAAATTTATTAGAAAAATACTTTCATAATCAACATCATTGTCACTAGTCATATCCCAACTAAAAGAAATAAACAAGAACCATTGTCCAGAGGCCTTCTGCAGTTTTATAAATAAAATTAAACTGTATTCCTTCTAAGAGTTTGTCCAGGGAACTTCATAATTGTTGACATCTGACGTAAAGCACAAGAGATGTTCAAATAAGACAATATTTATAAGAAATTAGACTGAGATAACGAATGAAAAGATGGAAGTAAGTCTAGTTAGAGCATTAACTCACTACAACACTAGCAATGACCATTTATAAATGAGCCAATAACTTGAATGCATGTTGCTGCATGCATGATAAAAGCATTCAATTATGAAAAAGATATTAAAGAAAAGGCAATTTTTTTTTCAAACAAGATATGAATAAAAAGTGAGACGACCGATGCATAACAAAATTGTAAATAAATAAGTACAAACCACAAGCTTGATTCACATTTTAAAACATAAGATGCAAAATTTTAAGTAAAGAAGAAACAAATTGAACAGAAACCAAAAGAACAGAAATGAAGGTCACATATCTGATAGATAGACTCACTATCAAAGTAATCTATAGCCCAATCATTGAGTGCTTCAATCATAAGAGGCCATAGAGACCACACCTCCAAAGATATTGATGGGGAATAAAACGTCATGTAGGAGACCATTTCTAAAACCTCCTCAAAAACATCTGGAAAGCATGCCAATAAATAAAAAAATTAATAATGGCTACAGATTTTAAAAAAAAAACTAAAAATATGTGCACTAGCTTGAATAGTACATAAGCAATTTTAAAAAAGAAAAGCAAAAGAACTATCCAAACTGAAATAACGCGTACACAAGGAAAAATCAGATAATACACTTTGAAAAATAAGCATCATTGAGCATTTCTAAGGGAACATGATATTGTAAAATTAAGACGTTAAAAAACAAGATTATTATCCCATCTTCGCATTAAGTTTTAATATACAGGGTGTCATATATTTACATATATATCGGTTTTATTCCATGAACATATTACAACAAACCAATTTGAGCACAAAACCTCGATAGAATTCAAAGAACATGATACTTAGAAATTACCTTCCACATAAGTTGTTCAGAAAAAGTCATATTCATGCAACATCCATAAAAATCGAATACTTACATTATAAACATTAACAAAATGCACTAAGCCAAAGAAACGTGACATTTTTCATCCACGCTGTTTCCAACTTCATCACCGATCTAAACTCAAATGTTATGGATTCATATACGTCCTTAAGCTATGCTTCCATTTCAGAATCGATTAACAAAAGTGTCTGCCAAACCAAACAACAACAACAGCACACAGAGAGCCAAACCAATTTCTGCCTTCAATGGCGTACAGCCCAGGCAAAGGGATGCAGATCCCAACAAAACTGCTCCATGATCAAATCAACTACCAAGATATATGGTAAAAATACACCTATTTTCTGAAAAAGAAAGTTTCGCTATCTCCAAAGCAATAAACCTATAAGAAAAAGATTTAAGGCCTGTTTTGTTTAACGGTAAATAGATATTATTGTTATGTGGAATACTGGATGGCAATGATGCTCACATAACAGTGTTTGTTATCTTTCAAATGTAGATTTTCGATTTAATATTCTCTTAAGGAATACAGCTTTATTTAGAATAATTAATGGCCTTTATGACATTTCCTATTTTGTTTCTTTTTTCTTTTTACCGAACAAGGTTAAAATAATAAAAAAAGCGTCCCATTTAGCCACTATTTAGATTACCTCAATCATGGCAACTAACATTATATGAATTACCTCTGAGAAATTACACTAAAAAAAAAAAACATCTCTTCCAAAAAAATAGCACAACACTACATCCAAGAAAATATTGAACCTAATAAAACTTTAGTATTTTAGGTCATAAAAAATTCTATGATCTGTAGAAATCAAATGGTACTTTTTGTATAGGAATGAATACAAACCATTCAAGTTGGTAAGAAACGCAAATCATCCAAGGAATTCCACAGTAAAAATTTTCTTTAAAAAAAAACCTCTCAATTTGTTAAACAAAAAAAGATAAATAAATAAATACTTAGATGACATTATGAATGAGATCACCTTGATGTTGCAAAGAAGAATACAATTTACAGTCACTAAAAAATGATACCTTGTCCATCTGTAGTCAACATCTTCCGCATAATTGGTAACAATGTAGGCTCAATCTGGACATAAAGATGAGGAAGCCTGCTCACAGATTCAAGAATTGTGCTTATAGCACGCAAGCAGCCAACAGCAGCGAGTGCGCCCGAGTCATCCCCATCATCATCAGTTTCAGATGCATTCAAGCATCTCCAAAATGCAGCAGCCTAAACATAACTTGAATAAAATGAACAAATATACTTAACCTAAATAAAGCACTAAAGTAAGAATTCTAGACTTACCAAATTTTGGCATAATCCAAGAGCATAGGGTGCCATCTCTTCACCAAACTTATCAACAATTGTTTCAAGGGTGAATACAAGGTCCTCATTCTCAACCTCATTCATAAGTTTAAAGAAATCTGGAAATTAAGGAATGCGCAAATCATGCAATCCATATAATCATAAGCACTGAATTAAGAGTGCAGCACATACCATCAAGTAATTGAGGAAGCATGGGACGAATCTCATCTCGATCTGAACAAAAATTAGTTTATCATCAGGGTATATTTTGAAAAGAAAAAAGTTAGCACCACAAAAAATAGATGAATTTATTGTACCTTTACATGCTTCAACAAAAGGACGTAATGCAAAAATAGAATCAACACGAACTGGAAGCTCAGGATCCTTCAAACCAGAAACAATGCAATGCAATGCTCTACGAAAATTGTTCTGATCTGAAAAATTCGTGTATGCATATTGACCTGCAACCCATGCTGCCTATAAACCAATTAACAAAACAAATTACAAAAATGATATCTGCAAAGAAGATAGGCAACTTCTGAAAAGCAAAGGTCTCATGAATGCTATAAATTCAACCACCTTAGCTCTAAGGTATCCAACAGGACTTGTAAATTCAGGGAAGACATGTTGCACCAACATACGCTCAAGTTCTGACTTATATGGCTCAGTTTGCTTTAATTTATCACATAATGTTCCAATTGCAAGAAGAGCGCCATCCTTTTGCCGATATGGTTTTAGCTCAATACTTGCCTCATCATATCTGAATATAGTTGCGCACAGAAGTTAAAATCCTCAATAAAAATGATGGTGCATCTAATACAACAGCCTATAAAAATTAACTACCTCCTTAATATCTCCACAATGAACTGAACAAACTTCTGAAGGTTCCCCTTACCGCGTTTTCTCACTAATTCACTTACAAAATCCATAGCAGCCGTCCTTGGACTGTACAGATCTTCAATAATATCTACAAAGGAAAATCAATATCAAAAGCATCATTCAAATAATATCTAAAATAATGAGTTTCGACAGTTTCTTCCTTTTATCTGAAAAACTATATCTTGGTAAGGAGATTGAGGGATAAAAGAAGTCTGATGTGTTGGCAAAGCTTAGTCCTTTTGCTATTATATATCTGTGTGTGTGTGTGTGTGTGTGTGAAAGAAAGCTGACCGTATCCTTTCCTAACATATTCATGAGGATCTTCATTCCACAATATCTGGTCATTGTTACTGAAGCACATTAGTGGAAATATAATCTCAAAAAGAACCATATCCAATTGTGGTTGCAGCAGCTGATACATGCTACTTCTTGAAATACTGAAAAAGAATAAATATCGATCAACTTGACTTGTTGGTGACACAATCAATATATATATAGATATAGATAGAAGATAGAAAATCAAATTTGCCACAAATCCTATGTACAGTTCTAATACAACACATCAATAACAAATGGTTCACAACTTTGTACCAAAAATTTTGACAGAACTGCAGCAAAATCATATCAAGTACCAAGAGTATCACCCAAGCTAAAAAGCTTTCTCAAATGAGTCAGAAAGAATATATTAGAAGGAAGCAAACCTAGAACAAATTCAATTTCCTAGACAATAATAGTGAACATTTTGAATAAATCATTTTCCAATTCAGTTCCAAGTTCTTCCATCAAACTGCCATATGAACAAAAACATAACCACAAGCAAGTTGTGAAATTGGATAATGCATAACAGTGGAAGGTAACTATTGCTGATGCTAAACCACCAACCATTCAAGGTTGATAAAGGAAGCCAAAGAATGTGATCTGCCCTAGAGCCGAAAACAGCAAACAAATTGCAAGAAATAAGCAATAACACACAGATTCAGGCTAATTTTATTAATATCCAAGCAAACGAACAAGATACAAGGGCGATTCAACAATTCGAGAGACAAATCAGCTCTTCACAAACCCTAGACGCCGCTAAGATCAAACCTTAGGGTGACTAGCCCTAATAAAACACCCCCAAAATAAATTCGAACTTTACTCCCAAATCCCTCCTTAAATCCTCATCTCGAGTACATTATTATTGGCTTGATGGCCCCGCCCGGGGGCTGGAAACTTCCCAGGCAGCCAGTCGGCTTGGCTGGGCGGATCCTTCCTGGAAACAGCCGGTCCCACCTGAACTAGCCTAACAGCCGGCCCCTCATAAATCAGCGTAACAATACTCCCCACCCACAACATCACCTTCTTCTTAAGCTGGAATGATTGAAACTGTTTTTGGATCACATCGTAAAGCTCCTGTGTTGCTTCATAATCTGGTAGAGATCTAGGAGTGCAAACAAGACGAACATGAGCGAGCTCAAAACCTGTTCGTGTCGGCTCGTTCAAAATTTTTGTATTCAAAATTAGCTCTTGTTCGAAATAGCTCATTAATATCCTTGTTTGTGTTTGATTTGATTTATATTCGAATTTGTCGAAGTAGTTCATATTTGACTCAATTTTGTACATATTTAATTTATTTCAACTCATTTAGCTCCAAAAGAATTTTTATTATTAAATATCTCCCAAAATATGGGAAATCTAAAAACAATAAAATTTAGATTTTTAAATATTTCCCAAAATATGGGAAATCTTAAACTTTCCCGCTTCTTAATCGCCGGAAGAAAACTATACTTTTGCTTTTATTTTTACACTTAAATAAGATCTTAAATTAGAGTTTTTTCCAGACAATTTGGGACTAAACATAAGACAGAATGAGGCAGGATCCAAGGCAAGCAACCGATGAAATTATGGCTATTGGCCTTGTGCCGGAGGGAACCCAAACCACAACGGAAACACAAATTATTATTTTTGAATTCCAAACTGATTACAAACATGATACTTCAAAAAACAGAAAGTAACAAACAAACACAAACAACATAAACTATAAAAGATATCCGCGGGTAATAACGAGGATGAAGGTTGTTGGACAGTGGGGTGGCGGCTGATGGAAAATGGTTGTGGTTGCTAAAAGAAGGCTACAAGGTGACTGGCCGCTATAAGGAAGGAACTGTGGTTGGTAGGGACAACTGCGGAAAGCACCAAACAGCAGCGAGGAAGGTGTCGGCGAGGCTGGCGGCTACAGGACAGCTGTTGGAAATGTCGAACAGCAACAGGGAGGGTTGGCACGGCTGGCAACAGCAGAATAGTTGCAAGAAATGTCGAACAGCGATAGTGAATGAAGATGACAGCAAGGTCGAGTGGTTGGCGGCTGCTGAAAGCGAGGCCGATGGGTTGCAAAAAAATACATGTCTCATCGGAGTCGAGTTACAGTAGAAGCACCACCCATACCCATGTAGACGGTCACTGTTACGGACGAGTTATAGCCAGGTACCTTCTCTTCGGGTACAGCTCCCGGAGAGGAAGAACGCCTCTAAGGCAGCACTCGGAAATCTGCACTCATAAAACTCCTCCCTAACCTCAGAAAACAACATCTATATAAAGAGAGAATTAGTAAATTAAATATATAAAGAGTAAAATAAGAATAAGATATAATAGGCAAGGAGAAGAATAGGAAAGAAATAGAAAAGAAAATGAATTATAATGGAAAATCATCATGAAGGACAGAAGAGGGATTAAATAGGAAAAAGAGGGGGGGCACGGTTACTGTAGCAGCTATTGTAACCTCGTTCGTGGTGCTGTCAATGCTAGAGTACCGCGGGCAATGTAGCCCTACGTCAATCTTTAAGGATTGGGGAGCTACGACTTCATCCGTTGAAGCTTTTAGGATAGAAAAACATTGGTAGGAAGTGGTTTGGGTGGGGCCGAATGCTAGGGAACCCAATAATAGGATTAGAGTTGGGCTAACTCTGATACCAAATGATATTGGAGGAAACCCAAACCACAATGGAAATACAAATTATTATTAATGACTTTCAAATAGATTACAAACATGACACTTGAAAAAGCACAAAGCAACAACAAACAAATAGAAACAACATAAACAATAAAAGATATATGCGGGTGAAAACGAATACGGGGTTGTTGGACGGTGGCGGCTGATGGAAAATGGTTTTCGTTGCTAAAAGCAGGTTGGAAGGTGGTTGGCGGTTGTAGGGAAGTGGTTGCAGTTGTTGGAGGGCGCAAGGACAGCTGTAGAAAACGCCAAACAACAGTGAGGAAGGAGTCAGCCTGATTGTCGGCAACAGGACAGCTGTTGGAAGCGTCAAACAGCAGCAGGGAGGGTTTTGGCGCGACTAGGCAGCAGCAGAATAGCTGTAGGAAATGTCGAACAGCAACAAGGAATGAAGTTGGTTGCAAGCTAGAGTGGTTTGCGACTACTGGAAGCAGGGCCAATGGCTATGAATGATAAATGTTTCGTCGATGTCGAGCAATAGTCAGAGCACCTTCTCGTCGTCTGGTACAGCTCCCAGAGGAACAGAACGCCTCAAGGACAATAATTGAAATCAGCATTCATCAAAACCCCCCATAACCTCAAAAAACAACACCTATATAAAGAGGGGATTAGTATATAAAATTGGTAAAGAGTAGGATAGGAAAAAGATATCATAGGCATGGAGAATAGTAAGGAAAGTAATTATAATAGGAAATCATCAGAAAATGACAAGAAAGGAAAGAAAAGGGATTAAACAGAAAAGGGGGTCGCAGTTACTATAGCAACTACAGTAACTGTCTCCGCTTGCCACATATTTAACAACTAAAGTTATATTTTTTTTATAATTATATTTACCATTTTTTAATACATGTAAAAAAATTAATATAAAAATGAAGTAAACAAAATTTTAATATTTAATTATTTAGTTAGCCAAAACAAGTCGAACAGGAATAAATGACGAAAAAACAAATATTTGTTCTTCTTTGGCTAGTTTATAAATATAGCTCAAAAAATTATTCGTGTTCGGCTCGCTTGCTTTATGAAAATTAAAAATTAACAAGTGTTTTTTGTGTGTCATGACCAATTCAATAAGGATTCAACGAAAAACAAAATATAGAAGTTAGAGTCTTGGTGTGCTTTTCAAAATTTGAATGATAGTGTTGCAAATGTAAGCATTTGCAATAGTTTAATAAATAGCAAAATTTTAAAAGCTCCACAAAATATTCCTCATAGATTAAAATACAACATTAAATGAATATTGAATGCTTGATCAATCAAAGTATCTAAATATATCAGAGTCTGAAAGCATAAGATTTTGCGTTTGAATTATTTCAGCTTTGTACTTTATATTCAGTATGCCAATTTGAAGTGAATGCAGAATAGCATGTCCAATGCCTACCTAATTCTAAGATGCTTCAAGTACTCCATACGACAATGTGAACTAGGACTTCATAAAAAGAAATGGAAGGCACTACCAACAAGCATTTTGCATAAAAATATATGTATCAAACCATTATGCACGCAACTAAATATTGACCAATGATGTCAACTATCTTGGAGTTGGTCGACATAAAATTAAAGAAAATTAAGCTTCAACATAAATAGAATAACATAAAGTATAGTTTGTCTTACTCAACTTTAGAATCACGAAACAATTAAGCACGGGAGAAAAGGCGTAGTGTGCTATACAATTTCATATTTAAATAAAAATTTTAATTTATTTTTAGGGCTCTTAGGAATATAGTGTAAAAAAAATGTAATATAAAGGTAATATATTATATTTGAAAAACTTTTAATTTGTTTGGTTCTATATAAAATAAATGTATGACCTTATATTTTTTGTCTGATATGAAGAAAAACTAAATCAATATAAAATAAGTGATTGGTAAATGGCTACGACTGCGGCTGGCGATGACATGTGGCAAAGGGGCGGTAGACAATGGTGGTAGGCCGAAGGCGGCAACGAAGCAGACGGTTGTGATCGATGAAGGGAGATGACTAGCCACAAAGGGGTTCAAGCAATGGGGTGTGCTAGGCGACAACAACGTGCAAAGCAGAAAAACGGTAGCGGCAGGCGAGTGGGTGGGGAAACAGGTGCGGCTGCTGTGGCGGTGGCTACAGTGGCAGGGGACAGATGCAATGGGTCACGACGGCAAACTGCGACGAGTACTACGGAGAAGGCAGCAGACAAAGACAACACACTGCGACGAGTGACAATGGCCAAAGACTCACAAGCGGGTTGTTGGGAGTCGATGACGGCGGCCAACGACGATATGCAACACTATACAAAAAATAGTGTATTTAAAATTTCAAATGTTGTATAAAATTACAATGTGTCGATGAATCAGCAAATCTTTTTTTGAAGGTTTCTTGACAATTTTTAGTATTTAATTCATATTCAATATACTGTCCAGTAAATAGTTTTCGTGATTTAACACTCTCCAAATAACCAGAAAGATTAATAGACTCTACTAAAACCAAATTTAACTCATAATTGCTACCTGATACGAACAGCCTGCAAAAATAGAAAAACCAATTAATATTGGTCACCTAGGAAATTGCAACAAATTTGTACTTCTGCAAATTCAACGCAATAGGATCAGAGTGAAATGATATTACTTTCAAACCTTGCTCATTAGATCACTTCAAAATAAGTGAAGACTTTCAAAAATGCTTGAACATTGATATGTAAACCAATTTCTAACGACCAAATTTAGATCAAGCCCACTACCACTCTCATACGTCCAATAGCCCTCCAATCATTGGCTACACAGCTTTAAAGCTAGTTAAGCCATCTCTCCATCAATCCCAAGGAAAAAAATGCTCCAACACAAATTTTAAAGGTAAGATGTCCTTACTTCTTATTCATCTAACAAAATTACCCTTTATGGGCATTTTTGAGACCAATACAAATCCCGCCACCCCCCCACCCCTCAACACCACACCAAAAATCATTGCCTACACAGCTTTAAAGCTATTTAAGGCATCTCTCCATCAATCCCAAGCAAAAAATGCTCCAACACAAATTTTAAAGGCAAGATGTCCTTGCATCTTATTCATCTAACAAAAATACCCTCATATGGGCATTTCTGAGACCAACACAAATCTCGAAGATGCAATATTGCCCCACCCCCACTTCACCCATCCATTTAAACAATAGTTGCAAACGAACCTCCACCTTTAACCCCTTATGTTCTATAAGGAGGAGGTTTCTATTTCTCATTCTCCACTTAAAAGAGAGAAAAACCCTCCTCCCAGTCTTCTCTCCTCAACCTAAAATAGTCTATTGATTACTTGAAATTCTTAGTAACCTTCCAAGTTCATGGACTATGTTAAGCATCAAGGGGTTTTCATGGAAAAGAAATAAAGCATTAGGATGATGATTTGTTGACCTCTTGTTTTGTTGATTGTGTTCAGGAATTGCATCAGCCTTCAGAGGGAGGACCCACTAACACAAATTTTACTAGCATTCTACATCTATTTCTAGCAAAAAAAACTAACTACTAAATAGCCTAACTTGTCAGTATTAATAAAAGAAAAATTACGAAAACACAATTACAATTTAGTATGATACCAGGTTGAAAAAGTTACAAAATCAAAGAAGGGTTTACTAGCTCAGATTCAATAAAATTGATATGTTTCACGCAAAGTAATTAAAGAAACAAATCCTCAAAGAGAATGAAAAAAAGGATGGAATTGATCAATGAAATTTGTCCAAGGAAATAAAAATCAATGAAAAACATATAAAAATATGAATGAAATGGAACAATCAACTGTATGTGTAGTTATGGCCATTAATTTTTCTTCACATACACAAAACTTTGCATACAAAGCAATCAAAAGAGTAAACTTAGTAACTAACAAAAAATGATTGTAAAGATTAGATGATTTCAACTTTAACATTGTTGGAATGAAAGAATAATTGAAGGCCTACCTGCAGTTAAGGTACTGAAGGATAAGATTAATAATCCTATCAGGCAAGTATTCACCAGTACGAACAGCATTAAGCAAGCGTAGATGGCATTCAAGAATTTTTCCAGCATAATTCTTCTGAAACATTTGAGCAAAAACTTTGTTTTCTGGATTCTGAAGCTTAATGTCCCCAAACCTGAGCAAAACAATTATTTGTTCATTAAATAAAAAAATCTTCTTAACTATATTGATGATAAAAAAGAAGCACAAACCGTGTGTAAAGACGGTTCAATATGTGCACTGTCCATTTTTTAACTTTCCACCATCCCCAAGACTTCCTAAGCTCAGGATCGGTTGGTTGACCTTGTAAAGGAACAGGCCTTTCTAAAATGTTCAAGAAAAGCACCATCCAAGCATTGAAGACATTGGGATCATAAAGCTGTTTTGGTATCTCTAACTGGGGAAGATATTCATAGCAAGAAAAAGAGCATGTTTCAAACAATGAAGGCATTATTTATCCATCAAAAAATTCAAAATAACATAGTAATGAATACTGATTGGGCATATATAACAGCCAACTTACATATATTGATGACCAGAATATTTTGCAAATAAGTTTGATCAAGTCTGCTAATTCAATGGGAGGATTAGTGATCTGAACAAGTTTATGAAATATATTGAGTAAGAGAGGAAATGTCTCTTCGACAATGTGATACACTGGTGACCGCTCCTCATCAGATTTGAACCTTAGAATTGAAAAAAAAAAAACCAAAAAAAAAACATAGTTGAAATCAGAAGTAACAAATAATTATTTTGTAGTAAATTAAAATATAATGTTAGTGAACAATTCAAATATCAAATGAATAATTATGTGTCACTTTTGCATTAAACATTACACCAGTTATAGTAATAGCATAATTCAACAACTCAACTATCCATGCATTCATTATTTTGGATAAAAAAATTAATAAATAGGTAAATAAAGTTATAAATAAAAAGAACAAATCCTTGCCATTGTCCAAGCTATACAGATAAAATGCATTTTCCATCACACGCACGCACGCACGCACATACGCACATCTTTAAGGATAGACTAATATCCTTTTACAAGGAGAGAGATACTTTTCCACAAGATTTAATTTTAACTTGTCTTTTAATCGCAAACATATGATTAAAAAAACAAGACTGCTCAACTTAAATTTCAACATAAAACTAATATGCTGCCAAATTTTATTAAACTTCAATGAATATTTAATCATTTATCAATGTACAAATTTAATGCTGTAATTGATAATCTAAATAGTGAGATTGATGACTTATTAATTTCAAGTGAATAATACTCAAATGAAATTAAAATTTTTGAGCATGTGCAAGAAGATATTTAGAACAAATTTAATTGATTTGATTTCAAAAATGTTATGTGACGTGTTATGTTAATGTAAGGCTTTATAAGGCATCTATTTCTTCAATAAATCTGATGAAAAATCAATCAATTAATAAAGATGTCAAATTAAATCATAAAGTTGTTCTTAGATTTCAGATCAGCATCAATAATCTCAACCACGGAGTTGAATGAACTAACATAAAAAATTAATTGCAAAGAGAATAGACTATTTTCACACACAAAAGGCAAGTTATGATGATAAATTACACCACCCTTAATAGTTAAAATACCCTGTCAAAAAAACTACTTTTTTGCATTGCTTAAAACAAAGACCATCAAAGATCAAAACAACAACAACAACAACCAAACATTTATCCCAATAAGTGCGGTCGGCTACATTAATCCTTTTTCTCCATTGCGTCTTATTTAGTGTCATATTTTCATATTCTAATAAATTAATATCATTAATATCATTTTTATACAATATGTCCAAGTCATCCTAGGTCTACCTCTGTCTTTCTTAACATAAGTCAAATCTAAAACATCTACTCTTCTAATCAGATTTAGGGTTTAGGGTTTAAGATGGTCTACGTTTAATGTGACCAAACCATCTAAGACGACTCTATCTAATTTTGTTCGTCACTGGAGCTACATCAACCCTATCACGGATATATTCATTTCACATTTTGACTATTAGTGTAAAGCCACTCATCAACCTAATCATTCTATCTCGGCAACACTTAACTTAGTTTTATGCTTCTCTTTTAAAGGCCAACATTCAGCGTCATAAAGCATTGCAGTTCTCACCACCATCTTATAAAATTTTCCTTTCAGTCTGAGCGGTACTTTTCTATCACACAATAGGCCTAACGCATTCCTCCACTTCAACCAACCATCTTGAATTCTACTAATAACATCCCCATCAAAATTGTCATCACTTTGAACAATAGACCCGAGATATTTAAAGCTTTCACACCTTTTAACAATTGATCACCCATAGTTACATTTTTGTTACTAGAGCTACTACTACTAAAATTACATTCTATGTATTCAGTTTTTTCTATGTATTCAGTTTTAGTTCTACTCAAACAAAGGCCTTTAGACTCCAAGGTAGACCTCCATAATTCAAGTTTTTCCTGAGCTTTTTCTCGTCTTTTCCACGAGAAGGATATCATCAGCAAAAAGCATACACAAAGGTACATCCTCCTATAAGTGTCCAATAAAACCATCCATAACTAAAGCAAAAAGATATGGGCTTAAAGTCGATCCCTAATGTAAAACAACAGAAATAGGAAAATATTTGGTCAATCCTCCTTCTATTCTAACAAAAGTAACAGTTTTTGTATACATATTTTTAATGACTTGAATATAAGTCATATCAACACATTTCTTCTCAAGAACTCTCCAAAGGATACCTCTAGGAACCATATGGTAAGCTCTTTCTAAATCAATAAAAATCATATGTAGATAATCCTTAATATCTCTGAACTTCTCCATCAAATCTCTCAATAAGTGTATAGCTTCCATAGTAGACCTGCCCGGCATAAATCCAAATTGATTATAAGAAATCTTTGTAATACGTCTTAACCATCGAAAATCAAAACAATGCAAATAAATGCTAATTACGTTTAATTTGAATAGAGTACACAAAATATAAAAATAGGAATCCATAGTTCATAACCTAGACAATCTATTAGGATATTAAATTAAATTAATACTACACTAACAAGAAATTTTGTAAAAAATTTGCTTTATTATTCACGGATTAAGATAAGAAGCCTTGAATTTATGGATGGATGTTGCGCTTTTGAAAAAAAAAAACATAAAATTTTGTAGAGAATTGGGTTTACAGATAAAATGCTAGCAGTATATCATACGTTTGCAGAGTAAAGAGAGTAGCGTTACGAATTTAGAAAACATAACTATGCAAAAAAAATGGAATCTGCAGATTATAAGGAGTTAACTTACTCATATTTTCTAGAAAGAATCCTCAAAACGTACAGTGCTCCAAAAACTTGGTGGTCTTGCAACTGTAAGTTACACTTAATCCAGTGAAGAAGATTTGGCCACTGTTCAGGATAATCAGCATGGATGATTGTTTTAAGACACTCACCAAGTTGCACTCTGTATTAAATTCAGTTACAGATATTTAATACCAGGAAACTGTAGAAAATGAAAAAATTAATGGATAGCATAACCCAAATAAAATTTTAGGTCATATAGCAGGAGACTGTATAAGTAAATCAGACAATGTAAAATAGACAAAATTTTCATAACATTAACATCCGTAAGAAGATTAGCCAAAATGCCATTCTAGTTCAATGAATTCCAAGCCGATTTACATAAATTCAAGATAACCATACACTTAAAGTTTACTGCACTTAAATCATACAATTGAGAGTGTGATGTAAAAATATGGATAAGAAGAGTATAATGATACAAAAGTATTAAACTACCCTATATCACGAGGATAAACACATAATGAGTGTCTGTTAGTGTGTGAGGCATAAATAAAAAAATGTATTAAGCCACCTTTCTTTCTCTTTATTTTAAAGTGGTTGGGAGGAAAGCATTTAAAATGTTAAGCTGGAAGAAACAATGGTGTGCACAATTTAGTAGTAAAATCATGTGCCCGAAAACAGTACTGATTGGCATGGAAAGAATCAGAAAGCACATTTTTTTAAAGATGTAATTATATTATTATTATAGTTATCATTTGTTCAGATCAGCTTATATTGATAAAAAGTCCACAAAATGGTTTGAAATGGAAATCAAAACTCTGTTTATATGCATTACTCATCACTCTAGCGAAAATCAGAAAGCACTTAGGGTGAGGCATTGCAGAATTTAGAAACTTCAAATGCTAACATACTTGAAACTGTACAACTAAATGGAGTTATGTATTGGAATCAAAAACATACTTCAGCAGTTGAGGAACTTGAATAATGAAACCAAGAATATTCTGCCTGATAATGCCTTTATCAGTGGCTGAGATCATTTGAGGTTCGCCTGCATGTGTAAATAAAATTAACACTTCTAAAATTTCTTACAATGCAAAATTATATGATGCTAAATCATAATTTATGGTCCCTACCATGCTCATCAGGTGACCAGTTCTTAGCCACAAAGTTCTTGAAATGAATGCTTGCAACTTGTCGCACTGCCAAATCAAAATTCCCATCCACTATGATCTGCAACAACCTCACCAAATGCTGCGGTGTGTACTGAAACTGAAATGTGAAACAGTATAGTGATGGTTCTAGAACATATGGAGACGAAATGTACCGTGCGCCAGCAGGAGATTCTATGCCAGCTGAAGCTCATTCAATAGTTTTTCTCACAAAAATACAGCGATGTGCAGCCATAATTTGACACGATTCAATAAAAGCCATGGAAAGAAAAAAACAAGCAGTGTCCTAACAATAAATTTTATAAATTCATATATTGCTTGATTATAGAAATTCAATAATCCGTTGATTATTTCATAATAAAGGCAAGAGAATTAATACAACGAAATCCATCAACATCTTTTACAAAAATCCACTGAAAATTGGATTATAGTGAAAAATGGAATCACACAAAAACAGCACACATAGACCAAGCTCAAAAGACTGATCATATTAGCACAGTTATCGATCATTCAATCGTTGCAGACGATTAAGATAAGAGGAAAATGATCGGTGATTACCTTATTGAGACTATCCTCTGCTGCCTTCCGCTCCTCTGGATTGGGGCTCAGCGCAGCCTGTAGAATGAGAGCGAGGCCTGGGAGGTCCATGGCCGCTGAGAATGGAAAATAGGAATCCCTGTCTGGTGATCTGAAGTAGGAATCAGGACCAGGGAGCAATCCTAGGGTGTCTTGTTTCACTTCTCCTCGCGGGAGAAATGGAGAGAACAGCAGCTGGTGGTGGAGAAGGGCGTCGAAATGGAGGCGCTTTGCTCCCCGAACTTGGCCAGAGAGATTGAGAAATGGTGGCAGGCGCGGATATTTAACCCTAGGGTTAGGTTCATGTAAGGCTTCTGGACGCCCAGGTTAACCGGTCTGACCGGACCGGATCATCTAAACCGCTGATCGACCGGCGTTAGTTCCGGTCCCCATGTTCCAAGCCGTGAGGTCGGCCGCCATGAGGGCTTTCGATTCAGCCCACCTCGGAATCTATGAAATTCCCTTTTATTTATTTATTTATTTCTTTTAATGGCTCCAGCATCATGGGAGCCAACGCCGTAACTTCTAATAATTACTTTTAAAACTTGTTCTACATCTATTTATTATCTACGTTCATTAAATGAAATTTGATATCCATTCATATTTCTAATGTCAAAGGCGCATTTAAGATATGATAAACGTTCAATATATACATCTGACTAAGAATTAAATACAAGTGTTTTTAAATTAAGATGTAAAACAATAATATTAGGAATGTTAGAATTAAATGTTTGAACTCGTGATCTCACAGTGGAAGATTACACCTTCAACCACTAAATCGTGAATAATGCGCGAGTGACAAGTTTAATTTTTAATATAAAATTAAAATATATGTTTAATAATTAATTTACTTATTTTTTTTTATTTCTTTGGTAGAAAAATCAATGTTATACTAATGACATTGATATTATGTGTTTTATATTTATTTAAGTTGTGCAATTATTATACATTCTATTTTTTATTGCTAAATATGCATCAACAAGGGCTTTGTCACATGTTTAAAAGTCTAACAGCAGTATTTGACTTCTAGCTTTTTGTATCCGGAAGAGTTTTGATGTAAAATTGATCATTTTTAGAAATGAATTTATGGCGCTTTGAACTCCGATTTGACTTCAAATGAGACCAAATCAAGAACTTTTGATGTTAATAAAAACTTCATGGTACTAACTTATGAACCAAATGATCTTCGAATGATGCTTAATTATAATCAAAAGATGTGTCATAATAAAAGGAATTTAACAAATTTTAGACCATGCATTTTGGATATCATAAAGGCACTTAAATTCTAAAGAAATGATTTATAATCAAGAGGATCAACATAAATTATCTAATAGTGGTATACAATTTGGCTATAATTAACAAAAACACTAAAGATTTATGAGTAGACCTCATTTTTTTGTTATGAAAGGTATAAAACATTGGAAAGAATATAAGTGTCTCAAAACTCTAAAATTTATCTAATAATCAACACGATGATCAATAAGAAAAACTAATGTTACTAAGCCATTGTTTCTCTACCATCATCATCCAATGCAACCAACATTTGTTGTCCTGCATCATCCAATTGTGGTAGTGTAATATTTGGTGACTAATCCTTTAGTACATCTCCAATATTCTCCATCACATATGTATGAGTTTAAGAAAGAATCTATACCCGCAATCACATCTTCTTCAACAAAGATAAAGAGTATAATTTTGTAATTTTATTTCCATAATGGATTATTTCAACATGTCAGAGCAAGCATGTGATTTTTTTTCTAGAATTTGCATAAAGACAATGTTAACTCTTCAATCATTTCCTTAAGGGCCAACAATCAATTCCTCAGTTAAGGGTAACATAATGCTACTAGTGATTAGTGTTACCCATGCTTAACTTTAGAGAATCATCTTCATATGATAGACATTAGCCCTTCAATTATTCCAAGAATTTATCCAATAAATAACACCATGATGGCGGGATGAAGTTTATACATCACAAAATTAATAGAAATTTAGAGCTAATTAATTTCAAACCACCTAAGTATAGCTCCCTCATTGTCATGTTGATGTTTCACCAATACTATAAACTTATTAAGATCTTCTCAACCTGATTTACTTGTAATCTCTATATAGTCTTATTGAACTTGATACAAACTCATTTTATTGGTGGCCCTCATGAAGTCATAAGAGATGAACTTAAATGTCTTATTCAAAAGAAATTTCTTTTGAGAGATTAGAATCATCTTATTCCTCACCATTATTTAAGAGTCTTCAATTTTAATTAATTAAATATTGAGTATCCCATTATTGTAAGGTTCAAATTATTTTAATAAGCATGTTAGCCATGATAAGAATATTACATATTTAGTGCGTTTTTAATGTCCTCATCTATCATGTATTTGTTGTAACGGTCAAGAATTAATCCCCTATTTAGTTATATCGTTTCTCTAGAAAAACTATTCACATCCTTACAAATGTCACTAATTTTTCTATCAATGGCAAATAATGATTATTCATTACTCGTCTTATTCCTTGGTATTCACAAGAACGAGAGAGACACTCTTAAAGAGCTCACTCAAAATTTTTGTTTGATGTTCATCAATTTTAAGAGTAGATCCCAAACTATTGTAAGGTATTTTTCTTGCAAGTCTCTGCCCTAATTTGTTATACTTTTCATTGTTGCAAAAGTATTCTAGTTATATGTTAATCACATTAATTATGTAAAGCATAAAGTATTGATAATAAAGTAATTTGTGTCCAATAAAATAATTCAAATAATCAATAAATAAATAAATATATCATAATAAGAAGTTGATTGATTTCTCTAATAAAGAAAATAGAGATAGTCAACAAGCCTGGTGTTCCTTTCTTACCAATTTAACTGAATTAACATCAACACTAATCACCTTTTTGATTGATTTCTCTAATAAAGAGAACGGAGATAATCAACAGACCTGTTGTTCCTTTCTCACCAATTTAATTAAATTAACATCAACACGAGTCACCTATTTGCACTTTATTATATACATCTAAGGCACATTTTAATAGATATTTAGAATGTTGAGCCGCTTAGATGGCCAATGCAACTAAAATCTCAATATTGCAAATCAAAATCTAAAATATGCAATTTTAACATTTAGTGGGGCATTCAACAGAAAGATGCCTCCATTTAAAGAAAATTATTGATTTTTTTTTT